ACCCTCAACCTCCGAAACTCAGCTGCCCTTCACCGGTGGGCCAGACCTTGCAGATTTTGATTGTATTTTTGTTTATTTTGTTGCAATTTTAATTACTTTAATGAAAGTTTTAATTGCGAAATAGCAAAAACGCACCGAACGAGTGAGACAGCGCACGAAAAGAAAGACTCAGAGATGCTGAGAGAGAGTGAAAGAGAGGGGTACAGACCCAAGAAAGGAAGAGGAGAGGAGAGGAGACGAGTGGAACCTGTAATGAGTTTTTGCGGTCTAAGAAAGGTTGGCAGCTGCACGACAACGATGACATGAGAACACTGAAAACTGTTTTCAATGTTGCTGCTGCTGCTGCTTGCCTGGAAAATTTCTATTTCAGGTATGTGCCAGGAATGTTGGGAGTCCCAGAGAGGTGGGGTTACGGGTAGAAGGGAACAATGAACGGCAATGGTCTGATTGATCAATGGTAATGAGAGCTCGCATAGAGAGTCAATTTGTACAGAATCAGGAAACAAAGTCACTCGGATTATAAGGCACACTTGGTAATAAGGGAGATGCCTTCACTGCATGGGAAATAATCAAAGCAGTCACAGTCTCGGGAAATTACTGGGAAGCTGGGTTGACTTTCCCAGAGTACAGTTCTATTTCTAGGCAAAGAATATATTTCAATGATTCTGTGCTTCTGTGCCTTGGCAGAGAGGCAAAGCGGTTATTGAAGCATTTAAGTATCTCAATAAAAGGTTTGCCCTTTTAAACGGTAGAGATCACTGTAAGCTTACCGGTATCAAAGTCACCGCAAAATAAATCACAGTAAATCACTCTGGTGACCGAAAGTCAACATCCTTAGCTTCCTGCTCATTAGCATTCGTAATCCGAGGGGAACTCTTTGATCCGGTCGTAATTGCAGTTGGTGGTTGCATTCAGACACACATTTGCATATATATATACATATACTTTGGTATATGTATACTCCTAAAGTACTTTATATGCCCCATACATACATACATATATGCCCCACAAGATTTCCCTCTTGACCCACAAAACGAGGCAAGCAAAACGGCACAAAAATGCATGTCATACGAGGTCTCGTTTACAACTCCATTACCAGGCTCAGGCACCGAAGTTTAAATAAAATATGCAAACAATTGAGAAGCCACAAGGTATGGGCAAAATGAAATAAGTGAGCCGTATCCAGTAGAGTAGAGTAATAGAAAAGAAAAATAGAACCGAAATAGAAATAGAATGGAAATCAGAGACGAGTTGGTAACTGGCAATGCCAATGATGCAGAGCATAAAAGATACAAATGTATCTCCTGTTAGGATAGGAAGAGGGGAACTTTTTCTCCACTTTACAATACGTTACGTATGGCATACTTCATAGAATCGTTGGTTCATATAACAAATGTAGCACATTTCACATTTCTTTTCAAAGATTACCGCAGGCTGGATATAATGTCTTCGTTCAGCTATTGATAAATCTGTCTAGCTTAAGATTATGCTTTTTGCTATTTTGTCAATTGTTTATATACAATATATATATATATATTTGGAGTGATCTTCATTGGAAATTAATAATGGCAATTGCTTACGTAGCTTAATGTAATTTGTAATCTTAGAATACCGGATGCAAAAATATAACTAAAACGAGGGGGAACGTTGTGAGTTGCTGCGTACACCGCAACTCTACAGTTATACCCGATACTAAGTCAGTATGGCTCTCCTCCGGCAGACGCCGCTAATATTAAACGACACGACAAAGAATGCGTGCGAGAGAGACAGAAAATCAGTCTGAGCGTGACGTCGGGCGCTGCGTAGCCACTGCAAATTGATTTGTTCCTTTTGGCTATAAAAATTATCTGATCTGATCCAAATTCAGCAACCGGATAGATATAGTCATTCTCTATGATTCTGTGTTTTTAGTTTTCTCGAATCTGCAATATTGTGGATGCAACAGATTTTCGTCCTTTGTGGGGGCGGAAGGGGGTGGGGCAAAATTCTGAGATATACGTTTTATAGTGACATCTTAAAGGAGTGTGTGTACCCAATTTGGTTACTCTAGCCTTAATAGTCTCTGAGATTTGTGGTTGCCTCAGATTTTCGTCCTTTGCGGGGGCGGAAGGGGGTGTGGCGAAATTTTGACACGAAACGGTCAAGGTCCGATATCACAGGAGTGTGGATACCAAATTTGGTTGCTCTAGCTCTTATGGGTTCTGAGATCCTTGAACTCATATTTTGCAATTGGCAAAACCGACTATGAAACCTGTGTGTTAGAGTGAGACAGAGCGAGAAAGAGTGAAATTGTTTTCGTGATTCTGGCTGTAATAATTATACGATCTGGTTCAGATTTCGCACTCTAGAAGATATAGGTATCTTCTACGATTCTGCGTTTTTAGTTTTCTCGTATCGTCGAAATTGTGGATGCCACAGATTTTCGCCCTTTGTGGGGGCGGAAGTGGGCGGGGCAAAGTTTTGAAATATTTTTGGAGCAGTGACATATCACAGAAGTCTGGATCCAAAACATCGTTGCTCTAGCTCCTTTAGTCTTTGAGCATTAGGCGCTGAAGGGGACGGACAGACGGACGGACGGACAGACGGACAGACGGACGGACGGACAGACAGACATGGCTCAATCGACTCGGCTATTGATGCTGATCAAGAATATATATACTTTATAGGGTCGGAAACGATTCCTTCTGGACGTTACACACATCCACTTTTACCACAAATCTAATATACCCCAATACTCATTTTGAGTATCGGGTATAAAAATAAATAAATAAACAGTTGGAACGCAACTGTCTCTTTGAACGCTATTAATGCTAACTAAATGTCCTTTTAGTGAATGTTTTCAAGATGAAGTTTAAACCCTTTGTTGATATTGAGAGCAGGGTACTTTAGTGTCGCAATGCCTCAGGTAAATTAAACATTATTGGTACTTACATACCCACAACATCCCTTCCCCTAGAAACGCTTGCCCCTGGATTCGTCCGTTAGATAATTTTGGTATAAGACATTTCCAAGTTCTTTTTCGTTCCTTTTTTTATAGTTTTTCCAGAGCATCGTTAAAAGCATTCGCTGCCGCTGTCGGCAGTGGCCCATAAAATGCATTAATGCTTTGCATGCTGTGCCCCAAAAGTCCAAGTAAATATACATACAGATATATTTAAATGTACATATGTACGTATGTATGTATGTATATAGAGACGGAAAAATAAAAAGAGATACGCAAAATTGCATTTTTGGCAACAAGATTTTAATTGCATTTTGTATGTGCTCATTACCTTAAATGGAGAGTAAGAGAGAGGGCAATTCTCCTTCCAGCTTCCTTCTCTGGCTCTGCCATACTTCGCTTCTCCTCTCCCCCTGGGTCCATGTAGCCATCTCTCTCACTGTTTGGCATTGGTAGCCGTTTTAATGCCAAACTTGGCAAACTTATTTGGAAAGCGACAACTTCCTCCGAAAAAAATTCAATAAAAATGTTTCAATCGAAGCTTCGACCACCAGATATCCTCTACTGATGCTGCTACTGATTGTAATTTTACATATTAAGATGTTATAAAGAATATAACTAGTATTTTCTAGTTATATCTTATTTTTTTATTTGATTTTTAGGCCTTAAAGATCGCAACAATTTACATTTATAAAATCAGAGTACTCCCTTTTACCAAAAAACTGCTGGGTATACAAAAAAAAAAGCCAAAAAAAGGAACAAATTACAACCAGGCCATATTTAAATATATAAAAAAATCTGTGAGAAGGAACAACAAGAAAGAAGATTCCGCACACATCTGTGTGAGTGTTTTCACTCATGTGTGTGATGGTGTACGAATATCCATGTGTGTGTCACTTTTGTTTCAAATGAGTGGCAAAGTGGCAAAACGAAATGAGAACCAAGAGCAAAGAGAATACGAGCATGGCCAAAGAGAAGAAAAGGAAAACAAAAGCAAAAGAAGAAAGAAGAAAGAAAGAAGTTTTAACGACAAAAACAAACAGGGAGAAAGGGGAATGGCTGTGGCCCATGTGTGAGTGTATCTATGTAAATGTCTGTGGGTGTGTGCTTTTTATTTAAATGAAAAATAATTAAACTGTGGATTGAAGACTCTTTTTTTTTGTTCACCCTCCTTTTTTGGGCGTAACGGAAAGACAATTAGGAAATGGTCGTTTAAGCAGACGCAGTGGGTAGGGTGGTGGAAGGGTGGGCTAGTGGATCACTCGTTCGAGTTGGAGGGGTGGTAATGGGGCTGGAGATGGGGCTGAGTGAAATGCGTAGCTCTATCGGAGTGGAACTAAGAGTGGAACCCCTCCACCGCCACCCCAATGGACTCTGGTCGACTTGCCTCTTTACGATTATTCCTCTATCCATTCACTTATTTTCTCTGTTCATTTCGCGTCTTTCTTGGCAGTTAATACTATTATTTTTTCATCTGTGCAGTGCAACACACACGCGGATTAGTGTTGAAATTAAATCGATTTATAGTACATCCTCGTGTGTCTGTGTATGTGTTGCTATACTCGTATCTGTGTTTGAAGCCATTTTTTAATTAAAGTGCACCCGTTAATTGCATTAATCACTGTATTTGCTATGGGCGTCAGTCAGTGGAAGCGGAATCAGTGCGGAATGAAATGCATCGCTATGGGGAGGGGGAAGCGACCCTCAATAAAATATTCAAATGATGGTTGCTTTATTATTTAATGTGCCATCAGAAACCAACGAAAGTTAGTGCTGGTATTTTGTTATTCAATATAAATAAGTATATCCATGCTTGGAAAATAAAACTAAAATCAATATTAATAAAATTATATTTATATAATGACAATCGTTGCATAAAATAGTTATAAGGACTAGTACAAGCAGTACAAGCATACTATTCGAGATTATGTTGTGGATACGTGAACACACGAATTCCTCTCCAAGCAGTCCATATTCCATTAAAAACCGACCCAAAAATCGAATTTCCTGTCAAACTATAGATTGTTATGCCACAATTCAAATGTTCTTATAATTACAGCTCCACTCCAGGACTCTGAGTAGCCAGACTGGACGTCACTGAAGGAGGCAGATAGAAACCAAATACAATTGACATTTATTGGCCAATATATATTTATAAGGCCCGAACGGAAGTGGCCGAAAACCCCGAAAGGAGCGAGAGAATAGCCACACAGACTGGAGACTGGCTATAAAAGAGGAGCAAAGATACGAAAAATATATATTTCAATGCTGTCGAAGCTGCATAAAAACTGTCCAGCGACAGGCCGAGGGGCAGCTCCTCCCCCACGCCACATGCAAATGTCCGCAAGGAGAGCAGCAGCGAGTGGGAAGCGGACGGCCACGATGCCGTCGCACCGACAACAAACTGGGCGGGGCTGCATCTGCTGGCTGGCCGTGATCGGACTTCTCGTGCTGGTTCCTGGTAAGTGAATTATATCCCAATCGGGAATGGGCCAAACAATGGGTCATTGGGCATTAGGCATGGGGCATGAGGCATGGAGGCATGAGGCATGGGGAATTCTAAATCTCGGCTAATTCGGATGGCACAAAGTCCATGGGTGTAATGGGCGTACAAAAACGTTGATGAAATACTATCAAAACTTGGCCAAAGCCTCAAAATATAAATGACACTGACGGCCGACGGCGACTGAGAGGCCTTGGGCCCACTCCCCACTCTTGGATGATTCCGGGCCTTGGCGATAATTAATTTTTAAGCCGCGCAAAATGAAGCGCGGACAAGTGGCAGGAACGGGTGGCAAGGAATACTGGTGGCAGGGACAAGGGACAGGGACAGGGACATGGGCGGAAGGGAAAATCAATCGTTCGTAAAATAAACAAATCTTATTTTTCCGCAAACATTATTTCTCATCAACGGAGTGGAGCGGGATGCGGGAGGCGGGCGCGGACGCAGGGGGAGACATCTGCAATAATGGTAGCAGAGCATTGATGACAACAACATTTTTCATAAATGCGCGCATTCATCTGCATGAAACGATGACCAGGAGGGGGTGGCTGTCTCCACGGGGAGGTACGGTGGGGCAATGGGCGCCTGCAGTGGGTGTTGATGCCAAGAAAGTCGTTGTATATTGCGAGGTTTGCTCAGTTAATACGGGAGAAATACGAATACAAATACATTTTATTTTTTAATTTTAAATTTCAAAAAATTCAGATACAAATTCTACAACCCTAATCTATCAATAGCATAGATTCAAAACCTAAAAATATTTACGCACTAAGCAACTTTGGAGTATGTGATTAATGGAAAATGATTGATCGCCCATCGAACAGCTCGAGCTACAAAATTGATACGAGTAGAAGGATTATATATTTAATTTCCTAGCAACTGATTGGCAAACCCTCGCCTTAGAACTCAACAGTCTCGAATCATTGCGATTTCCTTCCACTCCACTCCAATCCAGAGACAGAGACAGAGCAGAGAGCCCTGCTCTAGCCCATTATCCACCCGAAAACGAAACCAAAATGATGATGTTGCAAAAGAAACTACGATACTAAATATCCATCCCATGCTTCAGACTGCCATTTTTGCTTTCCCATTCCTTCGAGTGATTCTGTCTGCTTTTTGCCTTTGTTTTGGCCCTGGCCAAAAGGCGCGAGCGGGACAATGTGCAAACAAGCAAAGCGAAAAGGCAACTTGACGGGATGGGTGGGGGATGGATATTTATGTATAAATATAGATATATACTCGTATAAACAACGAAAGCAATTGCTGCCTAGAGACAGAGAATATTTCATAATTTTTTGCGTGATAAAGTCGCATTTGTTGGGATTAAATGAGATTTTCTTGCAATTACCGAATGCGTGGGCTGGCTGGCAGAACTTTTATTTATTTTGGTCTTCTCTTCTGCTCTTCAGCTCTTCCGTCTGTGTGCTATATAGTAATTTTTTCTGCAATCCCCGAGTACTCATCGAAATTACAATTTCTGTCGGTTAGCAGCTTAGCCGAAAAGCATTCTTGTTGATATTGATTCGAAACTTTGGGCCTGGGTTTCGGAATGGCAATGCGAATACGAATACGAATACGAATTGGAAGAGTTTCGAGGCGAAAAAGTTGCCTTTTCAATTTCGCCACACAATGCGATCGATACTTTCTAATTTATGCTAAACACAAACAATGCAGATACGTATGCGGGGCCAGAGAAAGTGCTCTCCCTGACCATCCCATCCTTTTGGTAGCCGAACAATAAGCAATGCAATGCCTTGCATGTGGGGTCCCTCTAATACTCATACAAAGCCCAGCTCATCTCCTCCCAAAAAGCAAACTTTTCCATCTAACTTCGGCCTTACCCCAAAAAACATGCAACATGTTGTGTTGGCGCCCTCTCCTATCCTCTCGGCTCTCTCTTCGCTCCTACCACTTGATTTTGGCAAAACAAAAGCAAAAATTGGCTATATCCTTCAATATGGGCTGCTGCTGCTGCCTGGAAAAAGTTTGTTCTTTGCGGGAACTTCAATCACAATGGCTGGCAGCAGCCCTGGCCGAGATGCGTTTTCAATTTTCCCGAATGCGCAAAAGTCAGTTAGCCTTCTCGACTGCACCTTCCCTATCATCATTATCAACATCATCATCATCATCATCATCATCATCATCATGTTCTTAGCCCACATCACACAAACGCCGGGGTGTGCAAGAGCTTTACATGCCTGATGCTGCTACCAGGGGGCTTCTGTTAAGCATCTCCTATACGGGTACAGACACATTCACACACTCTATCTCCCTCTTTCGCTCTCTCCCGTATTTCTTCCCTTCGCACACACTTCACTTTGCATATCACATGAACTTGCACTTTGCAATTTTTCCTTTTTTTGGGCCAAGACAGGTGGGTTGTTGGTGGCTGTGGGGTGAGTGTTGAATCGTCTTTGTCTAGCAGACATTTACCGTTTACTGTTTTGACATTCCAACTTGGCTGCAATGCAGGCAGGCGAGTGACGTGCCTTTTGTCAGCATCCAACCATTGTGTGAGGAGTGCGGTTGATGTCAGTCAGTTTGTCGAAATTCCCATGTAATGGCGCCCTAAGCAGGGTGAGAAAGTGCGACGGAGACACAGACAGAAACAGAGACAGGGACAGATAAAAGGAGTAGAAGAGAGCGAGAGATAGGTACACCAGCAGAAAATATTCTTTTAAAAGCCAGTGGCCAATATGGTTCGGTAAAGGGTTTCGTATTCCTTGCAGTAGGCTTAATTGCAAGGAGAGTGGCATGAATGAAACCAAATGTGAAATTAACTTCAAAAAGCCAGGATTGGAGCCGAGCTACTAGTCAAGGTCGAGTCGATTTTAAGAGCGTGTTAATTGAAATGATCGCTCAGATGATTGGATAACAACTCATTCGTTGAAAAATAAGCATTCCAATTTCATGTTTGTGCTCTGCCTGTATCCAAAGTATCTTTATATCTGCACCCATTGTACATATTCTATCTTAGTCTTCGCTTCGACAGTATTAAAAGATCGAGAGGGGTATACATTCTATCAAGGACTCAAAAAAATCACTCTCTGCGCTAAGTATTCGTGGATCAATAAACATAATCTATCATCCTATTTTTAAGTCCCTGGCAGCCTCTGACGTAAAGACTTACTTAATTTAGAAAGTAATCCGATATTTCATATCTCTAAAGCTGCCTTTTTGTATTCGCATTCGTAAAGGCCAATTTGTAAAAACTTTTGTATAGGCTATACCCTTTACATCCAAAAGAATTCAATTAAACAGTCTGCATGTCTCACAGCAAAATGAAATCCACCGCAATTGGATAGCAGATCTCTCGTACACAATTGAAAATTAATATGCCAGCTCTCGTTTTGTAATCCTATAATATGTATCAACTATTAAGTGGCCTAGGCACGTCACACCACGCTGAGCTGCACTTAAAACGTTTTATTAAAAAATAAAAACAGAAAAAATTGTGCAAAATTTGCATTTCATTTGCAGCATATGTATGCTCGTACAAGTGAAGAAAAATTACCTTAAAATACAATTTGATATACGTCTGTGTATGTGAATGTGTGGAGGTAGTATTTGTGAGAGGAGCGGTGGTGAGAGGATAAAGGCTTATGAAATATCATCAAAAAGATGTGAAAAACTGGCTTAAAATCTCATATAAACTGCCAGACAGACCAACAACAGCAATAACATAAAAAATAGTTGACAACAACACGCCAGCAGAAACTACAATGAAACAGCAACAAGATGGTCAATGTACCCGTATAATTGTATTGTAAATTGTATGCTTCTCTATATACTCTTTCAGAGGATATTCGTGACTTTCCCCTGGTTCCGGCAGAGCAGAAAAGAAATCATTTCTGATCACATTATATTATATAGTCTTAGGCAAAATCAATATATAAAATGTATGATCTTTTTGACTGAGAAATAGAGGGGGATTCAGAGAATATATGCTGAAAATATTTAAGCAAATATCTATTCAAACATCAATAATTATCATTGGATCGATGGATCTGCAAGGGTATTTAAAGGTACGGTCAACGAAACTCTCTCTCCATTCCTCGTTTTTTGGGCTATGAAATATGAGTCAAGTTTTCAATGCATGCCGGATGCATTCATTATACCGCTGACGAGACTTCCCGAGAGAAAGAGAGAGACAGTAAGAAGTGTGAGGGAGAAGCACACATGTTTGCCATTATGCAGTCCGATGTGTGTGTGTTCGGGAGGGGGATTTTCTTTGAGTTTTTTTTACATATATGACAAATGCATTGCACTCACAAAATGCACATACACCCACGGACACAGTCACAATCTTTATGATCTCATGCATATGTATGCGTTTATAAATGCCACTATACTGAGACAGATACAGATGCTATAGTCAAAAAGATAGCGAGAGAGAGAGAGAGAGAGAGAGAGACAGACGGATAGAGAGAGAAAGAGATAGAGACAGAGACGGAGTTAACATTACTTTAAACCAAAATGGCGGTCGCTTTTGTGTTGGGCGATAAAAATCCTGTGGACCCAACATCCTGGCGAAAAGTATATTTTATGTAGTGAAAAGTTTGTTCTCGGCCAGTGTCACAAAAAATTTGAAAAATACTAAAAATAAATACCAAAAAGGATTAAATAAAAATTAATGCACTGCTTTTGACCGTCTCGACTAGCGAACACCCTATGATACTAGTAGCTGGTGCCTTGGTTTTAATGGTTATTTCGCGGATCATGTATAGAGAAGTCCGAATAGACACTTAACAAAAAGGATTTCCATTATTTTCAATAAATGGAGCATAAGTAAGCCTTATATTATTTACCATCTTCAAAGCATTACTTCTTGCAGCCCTTTCGAAATTATACTAAATGAAAATTTAAGCAGAATAGAGCATACTGTCAGGTGCACAACCGAATCAAATTGATTCTGATCTGTTTTTGATTTCCAAAAATTAAATGAGATTTGCCAGTCA